ATCGAGGAGAGATAGAAGACGACAAAGTGGGACCAAAGGGCCTGACATTGACGAAGGGGAATCCAGAAGAATAATGACTTAGGCGACGACAAGAGTAAGACAAGATGAGCCGTGGAGTTGTTCTTCGTGACTCTTCGCGCGAGAAGCCGCGCGCCGCAACTGCGTTTCCGCCTGCCGCAACTGCGGGCAAGCCCAGATAATTGCTGACTGACTCAAAAGAAGCGAAGCGCGGACGAACCGCCTGCGGAGTTCACTCGCGCGGGCGCCGCAACTGCGGGCGGACGCGTGCCGGAATGCGAGCGGGGGCGCCGCAACTGCGGACGACGACGCGCGAAGTGAGTGAAAGGATCGCGGTGTCACGAGATCGGTTTCCGCAACTGCGGTTTCAAGCCCTCTCCCACCTCGGTTGTAGCCCAGCTCCTTTGGTTGCGTCGAACCGCCCCGATATTGGCTTGGCGTGCAATCTCTTGTAGTACGCGTACGTGCCACGCCCCTCGCTCTTGCCGAGGCCCGCCCCCGGGGGCTGCAAGGGCCCCCAGCGAGGCTCAACCTCATACAGGCTGAACTTCGGACTGGACCATTCCGGGCGAACGCGAATGCCTGAGCCGTCGTCGCGGATGAGGACGAAATCCCACACGGGCAAGCGGACTGCCTGCGCTTCTCCTCTGCCCACCCCTTTGGCGTGCCTATTGTGGTCGTAACTGCCGGGCACGGCCGAAACTCGCACCTGACCAATCCGCGACTGCGGTCGTTGTCAGGGCCGCACACGACGAGTTCCATTGTGGCCGCATCCATCTGCGCGACCAGCTGCAGCCAAGACCACGGGACCAGTTCTGCGCGGCCCCGCTCCCAGCCCCTGTTGTCCTGCGCCCCATCCGCGCCCTTTGCGCTTGATGATGCGCGAAATCGGCTCCACAACTGCGGGGTCAAAAACAGGAAATCGGCGGTTGAAGGGGTCGGCTGGGTTTTCGTACTCTTCGCGGTAGTACTTCAAGGCCGCGTCGTGCTGCTTATAGTTGCCATGCCAGCGCGCCGCGTAGGTTTGGAAATACTCCAACGCGTGCACCCCAGGGCGGCTTGCGTCCGCAACTGCGGCACCTCCTCGCCCTGGGACATGCGCCACTGCGGTTGTCCCCTTACCCTTCGCGTCGCCTGCCGCTCGCCCCGCGGGGGCGCCCTCTCCTTGGACGTGCGCAACTGCGCCTTGCCATTGGTTTTCGCGGCCGCCTTCCCATCCGCTCCAGCGGCCGACTTCCCAACCGCTCCAGCGGCCGTCTTCCCATCCGCTCCAGCGGTCCTGCTCGCGTTCGCCTGCGCCCTCCCCTCCACCGCTGGCGCGGTCCTCCCAACTTCCACTGGCGCCATGAGTTCCGCCGCCACCCTCCTCTCCGCATTGCCGACCTCCGCCGCCGCACTCCCATCCGCGACTGCGGTCAAATCCGTCGCCGTTTCCCCATCCATCCCTTTGCCATGCGCCACTGCGCCAATCTCCGCCTTGCCATCCACCACTGCGGCCATCCCTGCCGCCCCATCCGCCGCTGCGGTCGCCCCACCATCCACGAGCAGTCCCATCGCCGCCTTCGCCCCATGGAGGCCCCGCAACTGCGGCCCTATTTTCCTTTGCTTCCTCCAGGGCCGCCGTTTCGCACATATTTGCCAATCTGTGCAATTCTCTGCCCATCCTGCACAGGCGCGAGCCCGTGCCACCGCCGACGTCGGCGCTGGTTTGAGCCGAACGGCACTGCTTGAGCCGAACGGCACTGGAGGAGGAGGGCGGGAGGGAGAATGCAGTGAGGAGGATCGGGGAGGGGTCGAGAGCTCACCTTTCCAGGGCGCCCCCCCCCCGTGACCGTTTCCTCGCGGCGGGGGGGGGGGGGCAGGGCCCAGGGGAGGTGGTCAGAACGCGCCCCACCACAGCGCCCCCCCCCGTGACCGCTTCCCGCGGCCGGGGGGGGGGGGGGCGCCCCAAACCCAGGGAGGGAGACAGAACGCGCCCCTCCAGGATGCCCCCCCGTGACCGCTACTCGAAGCGGGGGGGGCCCTGAAGGGCGGCGACGACGGCGGCGACGGCGACGACGGCGGCGACGGCGACGACAAGTACAAACATATATACCGATATCAATCTATACATATATATATATATGTACATATATGTATACATACATACATACATACATACATACATGCATGCATACATGCATACATACATGGATACATGCATACATGCATACATGCATACATGCATACATACATACGGACATACATACATATATATATATATATATATATATGCAAACACCCTTGAAGGCAGAGGGGCAGAGGGGAATCTTCGATTTTGAAAGAATTCCTCTGGATCGCCGCAGCTGCGGCTTTGTTGTCCCGCTGGGCCTCCATAGGCCGAAACTGATGAGAAAAACCTCGCCGATCCTTCCTCGAACCCCTCCCCCTCCTCCTTCTCCTCCACCTCTTCCCCCCCTGGGCACAGCGTGGCGACGGACAGGAGCCATCGGCGCACCTTGCAACAGCCCTCTCCACCTTCTCCTCCTCCTCCTCCTCCTCCTCCTCCTCCTCCTCCTGTTCCTCCCTGCACTCTTCTGGCTAGAAATCCGCATCGTTCAAAGCAGTCCCAGGGGACTGCTTTGAACGTTGCCTAGCGTTCAAAGCAGTCCCCGGGGACTGCTTTGAAACGACCTCGATCGTCCTCATTATAAGGGCTTCTGGATTAGCCTGAAACCTACCGATACCCCCCACCTGGCTCACCACCGCGCCCTTGCATCCCCAGGCCTCTGGAACTGTCTACTTGGGACCCTGCACTCGACAATTTCTAGCCTGAAACCTACCGGTGCCCCCCACCTGGCCCCCCACCGCGCCCCGGCATCCCCAGGCCTCTGGAACTCTGTTCTTGGGACCACGCACTCGACACCCAGGAGGCCCCCGCAACCTGGAACTTTGAGACGCCGCGCTCGAGGTGGTCCGGCCCGTTTCGCCTGAGACTTCCTCGCAGCACGCTTCGCCTGAGACATCGTCGCAACTCTAGGGTCCGAGATGCCGCGCGCGAGGTGGTCCAGCCCGTTACGCTGGAGACATCCTCGCAACTCTGGGCTCCGAGATGCCCTGCGCGAGGTGGTCCGGCCCATCTCGCCTGAGACATCAACGCAACTCTGAGCCCCGAGATGCCGCCCAAGAGGTGGTCCGGCCCGCTTCACTTGAGACATCCTCGCGCTTCTGCATTCCGAGATGCAGCGCGAGAGGTGGTCCGGCCCGTTTCGTCTGAGACGTTCTCGAAACTCTGAGCTCTGAGATGCCGCGCGCGAGGTGTTCTGGCCCGTTTCGCCAGAGACATGATCGAAACTCTGAGCTCTGAGCTGCCGCGCAAGAGGTGGTCCAGCCCATTTCGCCTGAGACATCCTCGCAACTCTGACCTCGGAGATGCCGTGCGCGACGTGGTCCAGCCCGTTTCGCCTGAGACATCCTCGCGGCTATGAGCTCTGAGATGCCCTGCGCGAGGTGGTCCGGCCCGTCTCGCCTAAGACATCCTCGCAACTGTGAGCTCTGAGATGCCGTGCGCAAGGTGGTCCGGCCGGTTTCGTACAAGACATTCTCGCAACTCTGAGCTCCCAGATGCCGCCCAAGAGGTGGTCCAGCGTGGAGGCCCAGAAGACCACATGTTACATGTTACATATCCCCCCTGGAACCCTGGGAGCCCCAGGAGGCCCCAGAGAGCTTCAGGAGGCCGCAGGACGCCCAGGACAGGCCCCAGGGGTCCCCAGGAGATTCCCAGGAGGCTCCCAGGAGGCCACTTATCAGAACGTGTCAAGTTAATACACATCCGGTGTCGATTCGTGGCCCACCATTTTGGGATGCCCCGACGGCCACATGTTAGATATCCCCCCTTGGGAACCCCAAGAGGCTTCAGGAAGCCCCAGGTGGGGTCCAGGAGGCCACAGGATGAGAGGACACCGAGTCAGGAACTGCCAGGGGGCCTTCACACGACGGCAACCCCAGAGCCCACTCGAAATGATCAAGCGGACCCAAGCCGCAGAGCACATAACTCTGCAGAAACTATGCACACAATCCCTCACTCCAGCTACGCCTGGATTCGCGGGATATTCAGAGAAACTCGCGGGCGCCAATTTGACCGATCAATTTGTGATCGCCCTGGGCGCATGCTTCAAATGCGCCAGACCCGCCATAAAATAGGCACAGTCTGAGGCCGAGCTGGACGGGCTTACATCGCGAAAAGAAGCAGCTCACTTCTGCTTCTTCCAGCCTCCGTGCTGGCGCCCGTGCTGTCCCCAGGAGGGTCCAGGAGGCCCCAGGAGGCCCCTGCAACTCGGAGCTCTGAGACGCCGCGCTCGAGGTGGTCCGGCCTGTTTCGCCTGAGACTTCCTCGCAGCACGTTTCGCCCGAGACATCGTCGCAACTCTGGGTTCTAGATGCCGCGCGCGAGGTGGTCCAGCCCGTAACGCTGGAGACATCCTCGCATCTCTGGGCTCCGAGATGCCGTTTGGGGTGAACATGAGGTGGAGGAGGAGGAGGAGGAGGAGGAGGAGGAGGTCTAAATTGGGGCAACGCTCGAAATTCCACCAGCGGTCGAAATACGTCATCTCTCGCATTTACATTGACGATTCGTCTCCGGCTGGCTTGATTCCCGACTGCACAGTACCATCATTGTGGTTTCGGCATGGATGCGCCGACGGCCAACAGCAAGACGAGCCCCTTGAGAACTCATGGAAAAAGGCTTCCATCGAAATAGGCTGCGCTCGAGCGGTGTACGTACCAGGTAGCGTGCGCCTGCAGAGTTCCGTGGGCGAGCACCAAGTTTAGGTCGGGCGTGTCCCCCTACAGGGGGATTGGGGGCGAAACATAAAAAATATTCAAAACATGCGCCCCAAATGCTCAAAAATAGTCAACAAATCGTCCCCAGACTATTTTTTTACTATTTTGGAATACTCCTCCTGTAAAGGAACAGGCCCGACTTAACACCAAGCCGCTCAGACCTTTTTCTCCCCCAGCAGCGGCGTGGCCTCGCTGCCGATCTGCCTCTTGCCCAGCGGAGCGCTTGGGAGCAGGCCGTAGCCAATGCCCAACAGCTTCTGGGATGCCGTCGTCGTCGCGTGATCCGGGAAGCCCTTCATGACCCCGACGGAGAAGGAGAGCCACTGATCGGCGGTGATCGGGTCGTGGAATAAGAGCGAGGAGAAGACGACCAGACAGATGTCCTTCACCACTCCAGCGATGATGAACCCCACCGCCGAGGTCTCCTTGGTCACCTGGGCGATCGTCACATTGAGGTAGAGTGCAATGCAGGCGTTCGGGATAAGGTACGGCCACGACAGAACGGTCCCGCGTGATGGCGCTTCCGATGCCGAGGACCAACATGCACAGCTCGAACTCGATGCCCGCGACCACGAGCTCGGCAACGAAGGCCCGCGCGCACTCGGCCAACTGGGACACGCCCTGCAGCACGAAGCCGATGAACACTAAGCTCAGCTCCCCGCGATCACAACGACGCACTGGCGGTTGAAAACCGCCAGCCTGGTCATCGTGGAGAAAGTGAAGACGAGCACGACGTTCGCCTGCTTCATGACCTGCAAGGGCGCGACGCTGCAATACACGTGGGCCCTGTCGGAGCCGTAAAGCATGATCGCGAAGAGGAAGCCCATGGGCGCCAAATATTTGTAGAGCTTCGTACTATTCCCCTTGTACGCCTCCACGCTGGGCATGGCGGACGGCCGCATCAGCAGCACCAGTGAGGTGAGCATCAAGCTTGCGGACATGTGCATGGCCGTGAGCGCCATGGGGTGTGGGAAGCGCCCCTTGTGCATCAGGTACTGGTCGAAGTTGACGAAACCACCGCTCAGCACGATGTAGCCCGTGCACAACGCCAACGTCTTCAGCACCTGGGCAAGAGAGAAGCCGCCGCTGGTAGTCTCCGCCATCTCTCAGGCCCACGGGTCGTGAGTTGGAGGCAGTACGGTGTAGCGAGCGGATCGCGTCAGGAAGACCGACGATTTGTCAGGCTGGGGCCGAAAAACAGTCACGGGCCCAGCGTCCGTCATCCGGGGCCCTCCGGTCGGAGAGTCTGGGGAGCCTCTTGGGGGCTCCGCGGCCGTCTGGAAGCCACCTTGAGGCGTCTCGGAGCCCAGCCCTGCTGGACCGCTCTGGTCGCTCGTGCTCCCCGGAAATCATCTGAGCGGCCAAAGGGGGGGAGGCCCCAGAGGCCCCGGAGGGGGTCCGGAGTTCCGGTGCCGAGCAGGGGGCGGGGGGGAAATCTGGGAGCGTGTGCGGGCCTGGGGCCAGGGCCCCCAGTACCCCTGTATACATATACATATTCATACTAGAAGAGCCATCGCGCGCGCTCAAGTTCTAGCTGGGGTCATGATCATCGTCATCATTGTCGTCCTCATCCCCGTCATCATCATCGTCATCGTCACGGTCATGGCCACCTTCACCACCACCATCACAACAATCATCATTCTCACCATTATCATCAACATCGTGACCACCATCGCCATCATCTTCATTGTACTTTTCAGCATCATCATCATCCGCATCATCAACATCTTGTTGGTCGTCGTCGGCGTCGTCGTCGGCATAGTCATCGTCATCATCATCAGCGTCATCGCCGTCATCATCCCCGGTCCACTGCAGTCCCCTTCCCCTCCTCCTCTTCCCGTCATTCCTCTTACCATCATCTTATAATCGTCCATGTCCTCTTCGGCGTCTCCCTGGAGGGATGCCTGTACCTTCACCTCCTCCTCCTCCTCCTGCTCTTCCTCCTCCTTCTCCTCTTCCTCCTCCCTGTCTTCCCCGCCTTTCGGTGTGTCCCTCCTTGTGTTCCTCGTGCTCCTTGTCCTCCTGCTCCTCCACGTCGATACCAACGCGTGGCTGCCACAAGCCAGGTATCACTGGGGTACGTTTTCAGGCAACCCTCCTCTTCCCCCTCTTCGTCCTCCTGATCTTCCTCCCCCTCCTCCTCCTCCTCCTGCTGCTCCTCCTCCTCCTCCTCCTCCTCTCCCACCTCCTCCTCCTCCTCCTGGAGGCCGCCTCGAGGATACTCATCGCCTCCTCCCCTTTGTTTTTTCCTTTTCCTCCTCTGCCTCCTCTCCTCCTCATTCTCCTCCCCCTCCTCCTTCTCCTCCTCCTCCTCCTCCCACCTTCATTTCTACTCCTCTCCTCCTAGTCCTCGTCCTTGTACTCGTACGCGTCCTCGTCTCCTCCCCTCCGCCTCACTCTCCGCCTCCTCCTCCTCCTCCTCCTCCTCCGCCTGCGCCTCCTCCTCCTCCTCCTTCTCCGCCCTTTCCTCCTCCTCCTCCTCCTGCTCCTCTTCCTCATCTTCTTCCTCCTCCTCCTCCATTCCTGCTCCTTATAAATAACTCCTCCCAGTCGCACCCCGAAGCCAGTCTTTTGGGCGGGCTTGGCGTTTCGCCTGAGACTTCCTCACCACTCATGACTCTGTAGCTTAAGTGTGACAACAGTTTCAAAGATGGAGGGCGGGTCGCTTTCAAAATGTGGCTCGCGCCTGGACGCCGTGCACATTCGTTTTACAAGTTTGCGTGCGCTTCACGGATTGAGGGCGGGCCGCTTTTAAAATGTGGCTCTCGCCTGAGCGCCGCGCACATTCGTTTGAAACAATTGCAAGAGTTTCACGGGTTGGGGGCGGTTCCTTTTCAAAATGTGGTTCTCGCTTGAGCGCCGCGCGCATTCGGTTTAAAAATTTACAAGGGTTTCACGATTCCCATGATCAGCGTACCAGAAGCGGTATTTTGGAAGGAATCAGGATTATGCGGGCGCAACAGTTATGTAGAATTGCTGTGTTGAAATCCCCAACATGGCGCTCTTGGAATATTATGGATCGTCAAGACGCAGCAGTCAGGTTGACACATGGCGTTGCAATCCCGAAAACAATGTTTAGGCACGCTTCAGGATCTTCAAACTGTTGTCTGCCAACGAGGCAATGAACCGTTGTAGGGGCCTATGAAGAGGGAGCATGGAGGGAGGGTTAATTCCAACATCGTTGACTCTTGGGTTTCCACTGGTCCTCCTCCTCCTTGTCCTCCTCCTCCTCCTCCTCCTCTATTTTTTCAACGGACCCAATACACGGGTGCCTACTGGAACGCGTGCCGGGAGCCTTTTTGGAAGCATTGTGGCAATCTCTGGAGCCTCTCCGGGCCTTCCTTTGGAGCCCTTTGGGGCCTTTGTTGGCCCGTCTGAGGGCCCCTTTCGGCCATTCCGGGTCCCTCTTGGCTCGTCGTGAGGAGCTCAGCCCGTCTTGGGGCCCTCCTTGGGCCCTCTCCGACCATGATGTAGGCATCCTCTGGTTCTTCGGGCTTCCTGGGGGCTCTCTTGGGCCGTCTTTTTTTTTCCTACAAGCATGATTTCAAATGATTTGATTTCAATGTAGTAGTGGCGCGAAGCGGCCTAGCAATTCGGCCACCTCGAGTCAAGATGTATCGTGCAAGTGAGCAGCCGAAGGTCAGCGTGGAAGACACGCCAATCTACTGCAAGCAAGTCTTTGAGAAAAGTCGTGCAAATACGCAGTTTCTCAAAGAGAGTGTTACTCCTCGGTGACCCTCCAATGCGCCGCTGCTCTTTGGCAGACTGCTCAGAACTCGTCGCCGTAGCCCTCTTCCTCGCCCTCGCCCTCCGCGGTCTCTATGCCCACCTCTTCATAGTCCTTCTCCAGCGCCGCCAGGTCCTCGCGAGCCTCGGAGAACTCGCCCTCTTCCATACCCTCGCCCACGTACCAATGCACGAACGCGCGCTTCGAGTACATGAGGTCGAATTTGTGGTCGATGCGCGAGAAAACCTCTGCAATGGCGGTGGAGTTGCTGATCATGCAGCAAGCACGCATGACTTTAGCCAGGTCACCGCCAGGGACTACAGTGGGAGGCTGGTAGTTGATGCCGCACTTGAAGCCCGTGGGGCACCAATCCACGAATTGAATGGTGCGCTTGGTCTTTATAGTAGCTACCGCAGCGTTCACATCCTTGGGCACTACGTCCCCGCGATACATCATGCAGCATGCCATATACTTGCCGTGACGAGGGTCGCACTTCACAAACATAGAAGAGGGCTCGAAGACTGACATGGTGATCTCCGCCACTGATAGCTGTTCATGGTACGCTTTTTCCGCAGAGATAACGGGCGCATAGCTCGAGAGCATGAAGTGAATGCGCGGGTAGGGCACCAAGTTCGTCTGGAACTCGGTAATGTCCACGTTCAGAGCACCGTCGAAGCGCAACGACGCAGTCAGCGAGGAGATGATCTGCGCCAGCAGCCTGTTCAGATTGGTGTAAGTAGGGCGCTCGATATCAAGATTACGGCGGCATATGTCGTACAATGCCTCGTTGTCATACATGATGGTGACGTCTGTGTGCTCCAGGAGGGAGTGCACGCAAAGCACGGTGTTGTAGGGCTCCACCACTGCCGTGGCGACCTGCGGGCAAGCCCACACGGTGAAAGAGACCTTCGTCTTCTTCCCGTAGTCCACAGACAAGCGCTCCAGCATCAGGCAGCCAAGCCCGGAGCCAGTGCCTCCGCCGACAGCATTGTAAATCATGAAGCCCTGGAGGCCCGTACAGTTGTCGGCCAACTTTCTGATCCGATCGAGGACCAGGTCGACGATCTCCTTGCCGATGGTGTAGTGCCCTCGCGCGAAATTATTTGCGGCGTCCTCCTTCCCAGAGACGAGCTGCTCAGGGTGGAACAGCTGACGGTAGGTACCCGTGCGTACTTCATCGACCACAGTGGGCTCCAGGTCAACCATCACACAGCGGGGGACGTGCTTGCCGGCGCCAGTCTCGGAGAAGAACGTGTTGAAGGCATCGTCGCCACCTCCGATCGTCTTATCAGAGGGCATCTGGCCGTCAGGCTGAATGCCGTGCTCAAGGCAAAAGAGCTCCCAGCATGCATTGCCAATCTGCACACCCGCCTGCCCAATGTGGATGCAGATCGCCTCGCGCATTGTGTCCTGTGGGATTCTTGCTCGAAGTGTGAAGTTTGACGGGGGGTGACCAGCTCACAAGGCCGCAGCGTGATGTGACAGCCTCGCTCGGCAACCGCTTGAGCCAAAATGGCTACGGAGGCTCTCTTGGGCCGTCTTGTAGCTCTTCTGTGTCGCTTGAAGCTCTCTTCAGCCCATCTTGGAACCCTCTTTGGAGCCTCTAGGGCCCATTTTGGTAACCTCTTGGGCCGTCGCGACCGCTGGTAGAACCGAAAAGCGAAGCTCCCACAAATATACGTTTTTCCATAGGACATGCTTGATGTGTGGCTTTTGAGGGCCTTCTCAGCGGCCTCTTGGACAGTCGTGGGGGATTCCTTTTGGGCCGTTTGTGGTCCGTCTGGGAGCCAATTTCTGAGCCGTCTTGGGGCCCTCATGGAGCCCTCTCCGACCATTAAGGGTCCTCCGGTGGCTCCCTCGGGCCCCCCAGTTGGAGCTCTCTTGTGCTGCTCGACGCTCTCTTGAGGCTGTCATGGAGCCCTCTTGGGGTGTGGCGCCGATTGAGGGAGCCTTTGGGGCCGACGTGGCCGCCGATGGAACATAGGAAGAGAATCTCATTGAAATGTACGTTGTTCCATGGGATATGCTCGTTTTTGGCACCCGGGACCTTTCTCAACGGCCTCCTGGACCATCTTCAGGGAGTCCTGGTAGGCCATTTTCGGAACTTCTGGAAGCGCAGTTCGGCCGTTCCGGATCCCTCTTCACCCGTCATGGGGACCTGAGCCCGTCTTAGGGCCCTCGGGGGGCCCTCTTCGACCATGTAGGGATACTCTTGTGGCCCCCTTGAGGTTCCTGGGTACTCTCTTGGGCCGTGTTGGGGCTCTCTTGTGCTGCTTGAAGCTCTCTTCAGGCCGTCTGGGGGCCCTCTTGGGGGCCTCTCGGGCCGTCTGGGGCTCA